AAATTGCTTGAAGCAATCACACCTGAGCTCTTATACATGTACGCTTTATTCTTCCCAATTTTCAAACATAAAAACATTTCAATTTATTAAGTGAATGATAATTCTAGCAGGGATTAATCCATCAAAAATTCGATACATGTATTGTTCAAAAATGAAACAAACGATCACACTTGATCATGAGCTCTTATACGCTTTCTTCCCAATTTTTAAACATAAAAACATTTCGATTTCATATGTATACATGTATAAATACAGCTCTCTATTAAGGTATACATTATTCAGTACAAATAAGTCACAATAAAGTGTTTTTTCATCATTTAATATAATGCTATTCAAATAATCTCCTCTCTTTACACTGAGAATGAATAAGTCAAAGTAACTTTTTATTATTATTTTATTCAAATATTCTAAGCATTTTTTAGACAACACCCAAATATTTCTAACTAGGACAACAATATTACTCCATAATCGACACTTTACTGAGAACGAATCAGTAACAGTAACTTTGTTTTATTATATTCCCCACTTCACTACAAGCCCATATCAAAATAAACACCAGAATATTTCTAACTAGGTCATCAATTTACTTGATCAGGCTACCCACTGAAAATGTCAAACACAATCATTTTATATTCAGGAGGGAGATCAAATCAATTATTAAAACACATTTCCTGCCAACTTGATTTAATTTGATAAACAACCTTTATTTATCAACCACAACCTACCTCAATGTAATCTAACTTATATTCAACTTAAATAAATACACAATTTAATATCTTTAACATGTTTATAGTTTTAAAGAGATGCAGAAAGCAATGTACAGAATGCCATTCATTGAAGGGCGTAGTATGGTATAAATGTAGCTCTATTCATTAAACGGAGGGCCCGACAAGGACAGCTGTCTAGTTGTTCGGGTGGGACAAAAAACCAAGGTCCTGTGTACACATTAGCGTGCACGTAAAAGATCCCTTGACAGTTGGAATTCGATATAAGAGTTGGCCGTAGTGCCACTGTACGAGCAATATTTCCCTCATAGTACACTGTATGGCGTATGCTCGTCTTCATTAGCCCAGATCGGAGCAGAACAGTAGGACGTTAAACCCCATTCCTTTTCATTTCAATTCTATTCATTGAAGGGCGTAGTAGGGTATAGCTCTATTCTTTGAAACCTTAAAATAGCCGAAAATGAGTCGAAAAGTGAGAGATGGGGTTTAACGACCACTTGACACAAACTAGGTCATCTCAGGTCTAAAATATGGTGCAATTTTATTTCAATAATTCCGTAGAGGTCTTTAGCAGTGGGAGGAAACCGGAGAAAACCACAAAGTTGGAGAGTCGAAAAGCATGTACATATACCATATAATTATACAGTAATAACATGGAATGTTTATAATAATTTATAGCTGTAAAAGATGCAGAAAGCAATCTACACTTCAGTAACACAGAATGCTACTGCAAGAAATTAAAACGGATATACAGTAAGTATATGTACATGTATATATATACAAGCCAGAATAACTTGTCTTTGATCAGCTATTGATCATGGGAGATGCTAATTTGTAGACCGGTTGGAGAGGTTTGGAAATTTCCGGAGTCAATAATGGCCGCTTTATATAAATGAGTATTTCAGGGAATACTAACCCTAACTCTAACCCTTTATAGAAGACTGAACTTGGATCCAATTTCCCTTTTACTTTTTACACCTCAAAAGGGTTAGGGTTAGTATTATCCAAAATACTCATTTATATACATGTAAAGCAGTAATTGTAAGATTCAACAAGTTGTTGTTAAAGGCATGCCAAGACTACTGGACATGGTTGGTTTGTATAAATTAATGACATTAGATATTAAAGTAACATTCTGTACATTTAAAATGTAAATAATGTAGTTGATCAGGGGATAAGTAAAGGGGATGTAATGGAGAGCTTCCCACTCAAAAACAGAAACAAATCACCTGGCTTTAGTGACAGTTTTTAACACTAATGATAGATTCTCATCGTTGTTATTATGGGCCATCAACCGTAACCTGTTAATATTAGAAATAACCTGGCTTATCACCTTGTTAAAACATCGCTTCACTGAATTTAATAAGCTACAAACATGACCAAGAGAGAGAGGAGAGAGAGAAAGACAGAGAGATAGGTTTATAAATTTAAGGGATACAGAGAGAGAGAGAGAGAAATGAGGTTTAACGTCCACTCGACACAAACTAGGTCATTTCGGGACTAACATATGGTTTAATTTTATTTACATAATTCGCTTGCGCGTAGGGGTCTTTAGCAGTGGGAGGAAACCGGAGGACCCGGAGAAAACCCACGAGGTTGGACAGGCGACCCTACTCCTTGCCACGTACAACCGGGGATTCGAAACCACGCCAGTCGACTCAATGACAGACTGTATAATACAGCGCGCGCACGCTAACCATTCAGCCATCCAACCCCCCTAAGGGATACAGAAAGCAATGTACAGAATGCTGGTAGTTGAAAGGCATAGTAGGGTATAGCTCTATTCTTAGAAACCATAACTAGACGAAAATGAGTCGAAAAGCAAGAGAGAGAGAAAGAAGTGGTTTAACGTCCACTCAACACAACCTAGGTCATTTCGGGACTAACATACGGTGCAATTTTATTTCAATAATTTGTTTGTCTGTAGGGGTCTTTAACCGTGGGAGGAAACCAGAGGACCCGGAGAAAACCCACAAGGTTGGACAGGCGACCCAATCTACATGTACCTTAATTTATCCTTAAATGACATTTAGAACTAGAGGTATAACTTTCATAATAACACAACTTTATAGATTTACTACTTCTTAGTTTATTACATCGCTTGATATATAGGGAGAGAAATGGTGTTTAATGTCCACTCGACACAAACAAGGTCTTTTCGGGACTAACATACAAGTATATATAGTAAATGGTTCAATTTTATTTCAATAATTCGATTGCGCGTAGGGGTCTGTAGCAGTGGGAGGAAAACAGAGGACCCAGAGAAAACCAACGAGGTCAGACATGCGACCCTACTGCTTGTTACATACAACAGACAATCCTACTCCTTGTCATGTACAAGCAAGGAATACCGGTACGACTATTGAAGCGGTGCACGTAACAAACTAAGAAACTGTATTAGCTTGGTAATGTTGAGAGAATACTCTATGAAACGTCACCTTAAAATACACTTGTAGCTGTTTTCCATAAGTATGTATTTTTTGCTACTCTATCCAGTTACTAAATGCCATTTAAAGATTAATAAATCAATGAAGTTCGTGTTATATTATGAATACACCTGATCTATTGATGATCAAATAGCTTATAATATAACTGAGTTTATCTGTATTTATGTATTAATGGATACACATGTATATTATAGTGTTACCAGTCAACCTGTAAGTGTACATAGTACATGTATATTATATTGTTACCAGTCAACCTGTAAGTGTACCTGTATATTATTTTAGTGTGTGTGATGTTACCAGACAACCTGTGAGTGTACATGTATATTATTTTAGTATGTGTGCTTTCAGGAGACCTGTGAATGTACATGTATATTTTTTTAGTGTGTGTAGTGTTACCAGCCCACTGGTAAGTGTATATTATTTTAGTATGTGTAGTGTTACCAGTCAACCTGTGAGTGTGCATGTATATTATTTTAGTATGTGTTACCAGTCAACCTGTGAGAGTATTACATGAATTAAATATGAATTAATCACGATGACAGTATGACTCATTCTCTAACATCAGACAATATCACCTTCATCTAAATACATGTATTGGACTGTCTGTCTACAATCCTTTTAAATATCTCATCTACATACTACACAGGATTATTCGGCATGCTTGGATAGATGACCAGGGATGGAACAGTGTGTAGTCATTCGAATGGGATGATAAACCAAGGTCCTGTGTACACTGACATGCACGTAAAAGAACCCTTGACAATTATTGTTATACATGTGTGTGTTGTAACACTACATACAATGTACTACACAGAATTATTCAACGGGACAGATGGCAAGGAACAGTATGTAGTCATTCGAATGGGACGATAAACCAAAGTTCTGTGTACACTGACGTGCACGTAAAAGAACCCTTGACAATTATTGTTATACATGTGTTGTGTTGTAACTTGAATATAGAGTTATAATAAGAAGTAAGGTGTTCAAGTATTGTTGATGTATGTTGAATATTGTTGAATAATACACCGGCTATAAGATTGAAGATACATGTATAACCTACTGTTTAACGGACAGGTCAATAAATCCTGTATGATAATTATCAATGTTTAAAATGCAACATTAAAACATAACAACAGCATGTTTATCTTAGCTTTTGGAATTTTGTTAAAATATTAACTTGTTTAAATCGAGGTGGCTGTATTTATTAAAATATTAACTTGTTTACCTCAGGATGGGTGTATTTATTAAAACATTAACTTGTTTACCTCAGGATGGGTGTATTTATTAAAACATTAACTTGTTTACCTCAGGATGGGGGTATTTATTAAAATATTAACTTGTTTACATCAGGTGGATGTAATTATCAAAATATTAACTCGTTTAAATTAGGATGGATGTATTTATTAAAATATAACTTGTTTACATCAGGGTGGATGAATTTTATCCTTCATAAACCCTGGATAAAAATAAACTAAAATAATATTGAAATTGTGATTTATGGGCATGGCATTCATAACAATAACAACAAATGTTCTTATGTTTGTGTGTCTTCATTAGCCCAGTCAGAGCAGAACAATAGGACGTTAAACCCTATTTCATTTCATTTCATATGCTTGTTTATCTGGCATTCGTGTTTGATGTGACTCCCATTTTTGTATCTCAATATTTCATTGTTGTTGAACATTTTGTCTCACTCATTGGTTTTAATCTTATAAAACCCTAACCCTGAATTTATAGGTTTTAATCGTAAATGCCTGACCCTAACCCTAAAATGTAAAAGTGATGGAAATAAGGGAGTTGGATCAAACATAATCGCCATTTATCTTACCTTATGGAATGCTGTTTAATTAAAATGTTAAATCAACTCTGTATATTTATTATCCCTCGTGTGGTTTATATTCCACAAAATAATCCAACATGAATAATACAACTATTATATCCAGTTTCAAACGCTTAGCTATTATCCCAGTGGAATGGTTGAACGATTACAATGGTGGACCGTAATCAATTAGTTAAAGGTTGGGTCAAAACAAACTATAAATTCCACTTAAAGAACACGAAGAAACTGTCAAAATAACACAAGATATCACTGCTGCATTAAAACCACTTGTTGCCGAAATAACTTGAAGTGATGAAAACAGATTAAATTCATTGCACAGCCCGCCACACGATGAATTAATGATGTAAAACTCAACACAGCTATAGTGTTCAGTCAGTCTACACGCCAAGAGCTCGTTTAATACTATGACTGGTTTCTCTCACGGAGAGACTACTAGTCATAATGCCAATAACCTTCTTCACTGTAGGCTAGCTATCACATTGACTGATCACTGAGTCAATTTATGTTGCCTGCATATATTATTTGAGGCAGACTGGTTGGTGTTCCACACTGAAAGCTTTGTCAATCTCATGTACTGACAGAAACTAATGTACAATGTACTTGTTATATTAAGTGTTTTTCAAACATCTTTGATTTTACCAGGTAACAAAAAAAACACCTGTTTACCTTCATGTACATATATTATTTATAGCCAACAAGGTGTGATATTGTATAAATATGAAATGAGGTTTCACATACTCTTCTACACCAACTGGGTTAATAACGACAGGTATGTACATGTATGATACAGTGAGCTATGGGGGGAATTTTGCCCTTAACAGCAGTGCTACAGCCTATTCTTCTTTTCAAATTCCAAATGTCTAGTGTTCTTTTACGTGCATGCCAATGTGTACACAGGACCGGTTTCTAGTCCATTAGAACGACTAGACACTGTTCCTTGCTACATGTATGCCCTCCTCCTGCACTACTGACAAGATAAAACCACTCCAGAAAATCCGGAGGTACATTTGTACTTTCTCACCGGAATCAAATCCGATGACCTCCAGATTAGAGAGCCAGGATTTTACTCAGTGAGCTAATGAAGAAAGGCATACACATCATTAAGTGTGTAACATAGGTAATTTTGCCCTTACAGCAGTGATACGGTGTAAAATTATTTTCATTTCCAAATAGGTTTTAAGCAAGTTATCATCTGGTGTTTGTATGGCCATAAAACAAGTTACAGTGTATTATTTGGTGCTTGTATGGGCGTTAAACAAGTTATTATCTGGTGTTTGTATGGGCGTTAAACAAGTTATTATCTGGTGTTTGTATGGGCGTTAAACAAGTTATTATCTGGTGTTTGTATGGACATTAAACAAGTTATTATCTGATGTTTGTATGGGCATTAAACAAGTTATTATCTGGTGTTTGTATGGGTATTAACCAAGAGATGGTTGGTGGCTGAATGGTTAGATCATTAAATCTGTCATTTGAGTCGATGGGCTTGGTTTCGATTCCTGCTTGTAAGTGACAAGGACTGGGGTCGCCTATCCTACCTCATGGGTTTTTTCCAGGTCCTCCAGGTTCCACCCACCGCTAAAGACCCTTACGCACAATGAAATAAAATTGAACCATATGTTAGTTCCGAAATGACCTAGTTTGTGTTGAGTGGATGTTATTGTTAAACCCTATCTCACGTTAAAACAACTTATCATCTCATGTTTGTGTGAATGTAGGGTCACCTGTTCAACCTCTTTGGTTTTCTCCTCCCACTGCTAAAGACCCCTACGCGCAAGCGAATTATTGAAATAAAACTAAACTCCATGTTAGTCCCAAAATGACCTAATTTGTGACGAGTGGACTTAAACCCCATCTCAGTTAAAACAAGTTATTATCTGATGTTTGTGTGAATGTATAATATATTATTTATAGAGTAAGGACAGTGACAAGGACATGTTTGTCACACATGAAAGGTTTCTAGTTTGTTATTGAATGAAGTTAGTAGTGGTTTATGTCATCTGGTATCACAGTTGACTGTTGACTTTATCAACAAACACCCATTTAAATATATCAAGCAAGGTCAACATATCATGTCCTCACCTTACTCAATGAAAATAAAATAAAATGGGGTTTAATTTCGTATTTTAATACAGTGTGTTACACAAGACACGCAAAGTTTGGATATGATATCAGGGAACACAGTGGAAATCCAACACGATTCATCGAAATAAAATGAAATGGTGTTTAATTTCCTATTTTTTCTGCACCTACATGTACTAGGCGAATGCAGTGTGTTACACAAGACGCGTAAAGTTTGGACCTGATACATCGGAGAACACAGTAAATTACATGTGTACATGTACAGGCTAACATTTAATCTTTAACTGGCATTTAGGGATTGGGAAACACATTATTACCAGAACACTATCTTTATGGGAAATCAGTGATCGTTTCCCCATAAAAATTAATGTTCTGTTAATGCTAAATTTGGCTCAAATGTAACAACAGACACCCCCTACATGTATGTCTTTAATTCCAGGACTGAAAAAACGAAAAATATTTTTTGTGAACTAGAACCTTATTGCAGTAAAACCCCACAATCTCATGTGGTTTGTGGGGACGGAGGAGGCAATACAGGTTACTCACCCCTTGGATTTAATCTAATAAATGTTCATAATCAATATGCAGTCATATATTTTTACTGACAATTATTTTACTAAAATTGTTACAATGGCATTTAGAAATTGAACTAGAATATGCAGGTCACAGTTCTATGGAATACTTGAATTGCTGTTTATTAATGAGTGAGGTTTCAGCTAGGCTTCTCCAATCATTATCAAATACCCAGGTCACAATGCTATGGAATACTTGAATTACTGCTTATTACTGAGCGATGTTTCAACTAGGCTTCTCTAGTTTTTATCAAGCTTTGTCCCTCATTAATAAGCAGTACATGTAATTGTATTCCATAGAATTGTGACCTGTATAATTATTTTACTATATTTAGAACAAACTGACAAAGAGCTTGTTAATATTAATAATAAATAAATATCTTCAGGTCTCAGTCACTCAGACTAAAATATTTTAGGAATTGATTTCCAATAATCATAATATACATTCCAACATGCTGTTACTGGTGTGAATCAGTGGAAAGGAATACAAACGATGTGGTTTCAAGAAGACCAAATGAAATCAAATTCAGCCATTTTAAAGACCTACATTTCACTACCAGCCCGAGCTAATGAAGTCAGGCAAACATGTACATGTGTGCCATGCAATGCACTATGAGGAGAGAGAGAGAGAAATGGGGTTTAACATCCACTTGACACAAACTAGGTCATTTCGGGATTGACACATGGTTCAATTTCATGTCAATAATTCACTTGCGCGTAGGGGTCTTTAGCAGTGGGAGGAAACCGGAGTACCCGGAGAAAACAAACGAGGTTGGACATGCGATCCTACTCCTTGCCACGTACAACCGGGGATTCGAAACCACGCCAGTTGACTCAATGACAGACGTTATGATACAGCGCGCACGTCCTAACCATTCGGCCATCCAACCCCCTGCACTATGAGGAGAACTTTTACCTGGCTCTCTCTCAAAGTCTAATAAAGACATGCAGTGTGTACTCTTATGTCAAATTTCAATTCTTCTATTGGTGGTTTAATGTCCACTTCCATCGACAGTGATATCGCAGACAAGTTGTCTTATTTTACTCTACTTAGCGCATGCGTCTTTCCTGTGGGAAGAAACAAAAGTACTCGGAGTAAACCCACGAAGTTGAGAAGGTGACCCAATCTCCAAGCCACATACATGTACGCTCAAATTACATGTAGGTATCGAACCCACGACCGTAAGCCAGAGGTGACCGGCCAGCTAGAGCTCAAGTACGACACTCAACCACCAGACAATTATACATGTACGTCCAAAGTGCTCTAATTCTAATCCTAATATACATAAAATCGGAGCCATACGATTGGCGATGGTCTAGGGAGTTGATTATAGTCTTGTCACGTGAATCAATATCTAAGTAATACATGTACATGTATGTAGTTTATATTAACATTCGAAATCAAAAGAAAGACCTGCTATAGGCTGATTACATGTAGTTCTTACATAATATATCTTTAAATATTAAATAATTGATTTTGAGCACATTTTACTTAATGCCAGATTAGCTCTTACATAATACATCTTTGAATATTAAATAATTGATTTAAACACATTCCAGGTGCAAAAAGATATGGACATGATGATCCAGCAGCTTTCAAATTGAATATTTCAGAAATATACAAACTACAGCTTCACCAGGTGTAAAAGGGTATAAAATTCCTTCTGATACATTACAGTGTACATTCATGGTTTATTTAGTAATGTGAGTAGATTTATCTGTCCCTGGCCAATAATCTTATATACATGTATCATATGTTGAGGTCAGTATGAGATATCTCAAGTGTAGTGTACATGATCCTGCATATAAATACAATATCTCCTGGTATTGAGGGGCAAATGAAATGGGTTTAACACCCTACTGTTCTGCTCCGAACTGGGCTAATGAAGATGGACATACGCCATACAGTGTGCTATGAGGGAAATTTTGCCCGGGCAGCGGCACTACGGCCTAATCTTATATCGAATTCCAACTGTCAAGGGATATTTTACGTGCACGCCAATGTGTATACGGGACCTTGGGTTTTCCGTCCTATCCGAACAACTGGACAGCTGTTCTTGTCAGGCCTTCTGTCCTGCATCACTGACAACATGGGGGGAGACACAGCAGAAAATCCTGATGAACTTTCTCGACCAATGCAGGGATCGAACATCCAACCTCCAGGCTAGTGAGCCAGCGTCTTACCCACTTAGCCACGTGATCCCCTGCATGTACATAGAATTTGTACTTTGAGCACAGAACCCAAATTATTGGACTGATCCAAAGAACTCATGCTGGAACATTCAAGTTTGAATCCAGTGACCTAGCCAAAGAACCACCGTGGCCCCAATAAGTGGTTTGACACTTAGAGCTTCTATTCCTGGTAAATTGACCTCCCTTCCTTAGTAGTACATGATGTGTAGATATTAGAAACTGCCAGTTTGATATCTGGAGTAGAATATTTATCATGTAAACTAAATACCTTAATGTAACCTTACACACTGACCTATGACCCCTGACCTTCTGTAGATTTCACTTAACATACCTCTACTACATCTAGATACATTCTATAACCTATATATCTATACAGTATGTACATATATCTCATTCAACAGGTCCATACTAATATACAATGTACCAGGCTTTGTTGATTTTAACATTTAAACATTCTAATAATACAACTTTCCCCCAGAAAAATTATCAATTATCAAACCATTTTAAATAAATTTCATCATCAAAAAAAAAACAACATTTCGCTTG